CTCGAGTTCATTGCTTCCCTGCGTTTATTTGAATGGATGAACTGGGGATTGTGCGTGAAGGTGAATTTCGAAGAACGATCAGTTCAAGTCAGCATAACTCATCCCAGATAGCTACTCGCAAATTTGTCAAGCGTGTATTTTTGTGCTAGAAACCTGTTGGAAATCGTATTTGTTTCAAAAGAGCGGCGTTATTAGAAGAACCTAAACCTGAATGGAACTCACTAGGTTATTCAAGGCATAGACTGAATCAACAATAAACCCTGAGCATTGTGACTGATTTATCGATCCATTCTGACGTGTTTTGCTCATTTATCCGATCGGCCGAGGGCAATTACCACTGGATTCGTTCATTTTTGTCTAATGTTCATTTGATCAACGGTCAGTGGCCTAATATCCCCACCAAAGCCTTAATACTCGCTCGGTAACTCACTCAAAATGTATCGTTGTTTGCCCATGGAAATCAGTTCATTCCTTCTGGACGGGATCTTGATAGATCCGGTCCAATGAGTGACGTGTGACGGTTGAAGCAACAATCTCTTTGTGGGTTCTTAGTAGAATGAGATTGATTGAAATAACTTGAAGTTTCGTCGGGATCGCTTGATGTGGCAACGGTTTAACGGAACGTTACTCTACGTTGTTTATTCAATGCTTAAACAATTGTACAGACAACTTTCAGGAAAGAGCGCGCGGTCATTCAAACGCTGCCTGGGGGAAATGCGGAATTTGTAGTAATGAACAAGTTGAAAAAATGGCCTTGAAAACTGTTTCTGAGTGCACAATGGTATATGGCGTTTGGGGTGGAGACAAATATCGGACTTTATCTATTCGGACAGTCCTCCATAGACCGCATAGAACTAACGGAAAGAATCGAGCACACGGATTGTATAATTAGACTCACTTAGTTGAATACGAATTGTCGTGGCTCCACTTCTAGTTAATCCTGGATTCCCCTAGCTATGGTGAGGCTCCTTATTGTGATCACAGACGTCTCACAGTTCGACCTACATAATTTGCACTACAGAACCCAAAAAAACTGATAAATGCGAGAGGAGGTTTCATCTGGGAGAAATCTGTTTTTGATGAGAATGTGGATCTAGGCCGGAAAGTATGTGCGCCCGATAAACATTTGAGTTCGTTCGCGGTCGCCGGCTCTATTGAACTTGAACTCGAGAAAATGCAAAGTGCTTTTCTATAGAATATATACCCTGGGCAATGAATTTTGAAAAACACGATGAATAAAAGTTTTACGAATCAAAATAAATATGCAGCTTGTCTATCTCTCCATTCCAATTTGGGGGCATGCAATACAAAATGTTGAGCAGATGAACTCACTCGTCTATCGGATGCCAGTGCTTTTGAGATAAGCTCTGTATCGAACATCCTAAGCTTTCATAGACTCACTCACTCATTTAGATCCACCTCTCCCCCATCCATTGTCATATCCATGCAGACACATAGAAACAACATACCAATTATCAAAATTACATCGTCCATTCTAAACTCTAACTTCTTTCTTAATTGCGGACCTTCTCTCCTCACTTCGTTAGTTCAATATAAATTTTGCTGTAGGTAATTAGTGGTTAATGCAACACAAACAAAAAACGAACTGTATTGCTAAAATCTGTTCACATTACTGAATTTCAGAATGTCTTGTCCTATATGTGAGACTGACAGCACTGACGCTCATGGTAACGTGTAATACCGAAGGCGCAAATGCATCCTCTCCTGTTTGCAATACAGCAATAAACAGAAACGAAAACAAACTCAAAATGACGTGCAGTAACTAAACAAAGAAAAAACTGTCACTCTTTGAAGTTGACCGTTTTATTTTCGTCGCTTTTGTATCTATACTTTTCGTTCACCCCTGGTTATTTGGCACCGAATCTGTAGAGGTTGGTGTTATATATATATATATATATATTTCAAGAGAGAATGGAGGCATGCAATGCGTTGCAAAATGTTTATTGTAACGTTTCGATCCAAACTAGAACTCGTCAAACGTAAGTGGAATGAATGAAATAATGGGATTACCGTCTTTCCATGCTGTTAGTACGTCTATCAGTCCACCAATCATCACGGGTTTTGCGAGTGTGAGGTAACGTCTGTCTATCTCGACGTGTCGTTTGAACGAATTGACTGAGTGCAGAGCTTCGAGGATTAATCGTTTCCCCTTCTTCTTAGTTCGCGCCACAACCTTTGCGTTATTGATTGCGATCTCGTGACCTGAAGTATCTCTGATTTCCTACCATTCAAAGCTGATATCTGAATAGACCTAAATTAGTGATTCTAATCAGCCCTAGCGTGAGCTGGTTTGCACAGGGGCCACATTCACACAGCTTCCACTCCAGGAATTGGTATAACTGAGTCCAGGGTTGCCTGATGATTATCCCACTGATGAGCTTTAATCTAAATTTCAGGAGTTTACGAGGTTCCCCAAATCCATGAGTGACGGGGTGAACCAAGGAACATGTGTGAATGTGAAGTTTGTAGGGGCTAATCAATTGAATTCAGCATTTCATTAGAGCCGGCTAGATGTTGAATGACGGGAAATACTAACCTGCTAATACTCACGAAAAAGTGTCTTGCGCGTTTCTTTTTTACAATTTTTCGGCGGCCAAAATGATTTCCAAACTGTTTGTAGGGCTCGTGAAGACTAAGTTCATTTTGGCCTTTTCAATGCCGGACGCAACTGGTTTTAAAATGTTTCGTTACCACAATCACCCATATGATGCCAATTGCCACATTTTCAATGCACAACTTTTCCCACGTTTCAGTCACCCAGCAGAGATCGAATGCAAAACTCGTTCATCAAGCGCACCCAAGGTGGTGGCATTGCTTCCTCAAAAAGTTCCGTGGAAAGCGAAAAAATGAAAAGGTTAGATATCGTGTTCTCCTTGATCCTTGGTCTCCTTAGTCTGTATTGCTGTCTAACAGAACTGATTCGATACCGGTCAGTAACTTTTGTTTCCTTTGATCGGATGAACCTTAGTTTCTTTTTCGTACCAACCGACTTTTGTCTGGTTTCTCTTTCAGGGAGTTCATTTCGCAATTCTGTGTGGACTTTGGAGAACGGGCTCAACAGGCGTCACTCCGCGCTCAAATTATCTCCACCTACAGTTCAATTCTGACCATCTTGGAAAAGGTCCCCACGGTGACGTAAGTCGTATATCACCTCAATCGTCTATGCAGCTGATTCTGCATCCAGGTAACTCGGCCACAATCATTTGGGGAACCCCAGTATCGGTTAGTTGTTTTGAGGAACACTGCTTTGACACATTTGGGCTTTAGTTGTTCCAGCTGGAGACAGGAGTATCGTTTGGACATATTTGATTGTTTAAAACGGTTATCCGTTAGATAGCCTTCAAAGTTCAGTTCGGCTTGTGTCATCTGACAGTATGACGTGTCAGAATAATAAATATCCACTCCGTCTAAAACTCCTTTTGGTCAGTACTCTCAGATGTTCTCTAACAAATTACATCAATCCACCTTGCTACGTATTGTGATCCACGGGACCGGTGACAATAACACTTGAATTCAGGTTGATGGATTCACCAAAGGTTTGTCAGTGCTGAACAACCCAAGGTTCGAAAGAACACACATCTATA